TGAAAAGACACGGAGAAAAAAGCTTGGTCTAATGCTCATAAGTGATCTAACTTCCGTCATTGCAAGACATAAGGAAGAACAGAGCGACAACTATAGGCACAGCAAGCTTTGTAAGTGAGCCGAGAAATTGAAAAAAGCGTCATCATCAGAAGTTTGACGTAGATGACTGTACCAGATTCACCGGTGAAACAGATAGCCTACTGCTGAAAGAAAGGGAAAAAAAAACGAAATTAAAAGATATTTTTTCCCTTTATTTGTCTAACCAACCCGATGGAAATCCCATTACCGTAGTTAACTCTGGAACTACTTTTAAATAAAACCAAAAAAAGAAGCCGCCTTCCACCAATGGTCGCGATTTTACTAAAGATTCAGCAGCTTTCTCCCCAGGGTCTCTGAAAGTCAACGGGAATTTTAACAGTACAATTTCTTAGGCGGCGGCTTGTCAGAGTAGGTAAATTACACTAACAGAGTGTAGTGGGAATTGAGTGAAGCATCAAAAGTTGATCCTTCAACGCTTCAGTTTAACATTTGATAATCAAGTTTAACCGGACTGAAAGGGCACGAAATCTACCTGCATCATTAGGTGACAAAAATTTATTTTTAGCACTTTTGAGGTGTGAGGTGGACCCGTGAATCTTTTTAACTTCCTGTTTAATTAGAGACCGCTGATAGTAACTTTTTGAAGTGACCGACTTATCATTTATTTATCATAAAACTAACAATTCACTGTATAACTATATACAAACCCTTTGCCCCTCAACACCTCTAATGTGGTTTATTTTTAATTTTTTTTAATGGAAAAACAGGATCTACAAAAATCAAGAAACTTAAGCTTGTGGCTTAAGTTTAAGGATAGATGCAGAGTATAATTGAAAAAAATATATATGTATATATTGCTGTCTTCTAATTTTTAACGACACTATTCTTTTCCTCTTCTTACACTACTTGGCTTCTTTTTGCTTTCTTTTTGTTTTTTTTTTTTTTTTTCATATAATCGATTCACTGAGGTTCCTGAAAACAGTTTGATAATTCCGGTTTGCACATTAAGTTTTAAGCTAGTTTTTACCATCTGCACTAGCAGAGGACGAAGAAGAAAAAAAATGAAGTCTTCGGTGAAGGAATGAGTAAAATTTTCCGTTTTTTTTTTCAGATATTCAATTTGTCTGGAAGACACGTCGACATTCTGAACAGTAATTGACAGTCAGATGGGTGTATCTGTGTATTTATTTGTGTTTAAGACGGAAACTGCTAAAGACAGCGGTACAAAAAAAAAAGTGTCAATTTTTTTTTGTTCAAATTTTGTACGTGAATGATTGCAATTGCTTATTCCAAAAAGAAATTTCTTATTGCAATTGTAAATTAGAAACAAATTAAATGTGTAATAAAAATTGTTTGATAGAGAAAAAAGATGGCGGATAAAGTGGTAACAGAAAATAATTAGGTTGGGAAAAGCTGTACAAATGTACAGTTTAGAATAAATTTA